TCTCTCTCTCTCTCTCTCTACTAAATACGCACGCATAGATTGGATCGTTCGATTTCTGGTATCGATCGTTAATGGCGCATTTAAACATTCAGGAGGAGAGTCTATCGACAAAGAAGGAGGGAAAAATGGCACGCGGGGGATCACTGGTGGAGAGTCGTTCGGATCTTGAACGATATTCCGCGGGACGATGATGTGTTTACGGTTGTTTAATTATTGGAAGAGTAAAGCGCAACTATTTTATCGACCGCGGAGAAAATATTGGCAAAACGAAAGTGATAAAAGTGCGATTATTAGCGCGGTATTAACTAGGGGAGCGATTGATTTTGTAAAAAAAAAGAGGATTGGAATGATTCGATGAAATTAATAATATTGATCAAAGGTGGATAAATTAATAAATTTATTTGATAATTATTTTAAAGGATTTCGTTTCTCGAAATATAGAATTCCATCCTTTTCGTAAAACTTGTTAAACAAACTAATAATATTTGTACTTCAAATACGTAAAACATGGAATTCTCTATTTTCGTATTAGCTTGAAAAGCTTTCATCGTAGCAAACATACTTACATAATAGTGCAAAAGGTTAAAAAAACTCGATGCTCTGACTCATGTCCATTTATCCGCTCTTGTCAATTATAAAATCAATTATGAATCATTAATTAATTCTACGAAATTAACAAAGAACGATGTACAGGATATTTCAAAACTTTATAAATATCTAAAAAAAAAAAAAAAAAATCAGCACATTAACTTCTTCATTGACTAAAAGAATCGATGAATACTTAAAATATCGTTATTTCGACGATATTTTAATTATTATTAAAATCAACCAAAAAAAAAAAAAAAAAAACCTTTTTCCTTATTAATTCCTTCTTATTTCCGTTCTCCGCGATATCAAACTATTCTTAAATGATAAAAAAATCTTCGCTCTTCAGTCGATTTACAAATCTTGGATCCACTTTTTCCAACACCCTGTACATTGGCGCGCACCCTCCTTATACGCCCCTGGTGCGCAACACGCGTGCATATTCGGCCGTGTGTTGATAGGTTTTATAGAAATGCAACGTTACAACGAGAAGTGGAACAGTTTGCGCAGCAAACCGGCGCGTTCGGTTTATTTATAAACGTCCTCCCGGCTTTCAAAATTCCGATCCCATCCATTTTTTTTTCGCATCCACTTCCAGGTGGGGATCGATTTTATCGCGACACAACTGTATTTCCACCTTTTATCTT